CACCTACCGCCACCCTTTCCACTGGTGGTAATGTTGACGAACGGGTTACCGCACCACCGCTGGCCGCCGCCGCCGCCGCCCCCGTTAGGACAGGACAGTATCTGGATGGTGGTGATGAGCGTTGATGGTTGACAATTTTTTGTCCCGCTGGGGGGTCGCTACGCCACCTCCGATTCTCGGGCTATTTGCGTCGTGTCCTTGCCTACCTTGGTTAGTGGTTGATCGGCGGTGGTTGAAGCAGAGCAGCTTTGCTGCCCCAAGTGTTGACAGTTGCGAACCCCCCTCCCGACCCGCGCGTCGTGAGGGTTAGCTGTGCATCCCCCCGTTTGACTGGTTCGTCCAACACCACACCACGCCCCGCTACGAGTGTTTGGCTCATGCCGGACACACGAAGAAGCAACACACCGAGGGTTGTGATTTTTTTATATTTGACCCGGCCTGAAAGCGTCTGCTTTGTTCTCTCGGAAAGTTCTCCCGTGTATCGTTTCCGGCGTGGCCCCCAACAGCAGCCTCGGCTTGTCCGGACTGTGTACACACGGCCGTTAGGCAGTGTGTCGCCTCCCCACCGCAACCAGCCACTGATGGGTCTCGCGTTCTCCCATTCGCCACCGAGCGTTCCGCCGAATAAGCGGGGGCGGGTACTAAAGTACGGTGGCGTGATCTCCCTCCCAAACTTTGACAATATTGCAGCGGCTCTGTAGCAGCTGTATCGTTCATTGTTTCACGTTTCTGTGGCGATGAGCCAGCCATGCTTTGGCGCTGCTTGTTCGTCCCGTCCCATGGTACACGGAGGAGTGACGGTGCGGTGTGTTTCCTCTGCTGCGAGCTGTGCTGTTTTTTCCCCCATCCCGATCGATCAGCAGCAGCATGGCAACGTACCTTGTTGTCGTAGGATGAGGCCTGTGGTGCAAAACCGGTGTGCAAGTCTTACACGCGAGGGCCGGGCGCGGCGGCTTGCCCTGAAACCGTGCCTGACGATAAAAGAAGCCATCTTCCGCGGTGGGACCTAGCGATAGCCGCCCTCCCACTGCCGGCTTCCAGTACGCTCCCTATCGCATACGTCCATGCTCAACCAATCCCCCCCTGTTTCTTACTTGCAGCCCCCCCGCCCCCCCGCCGATGTTTTATTCGTGTCGCAAGGCGCCCATCGCGCAGTCCCACGTGCACAACCTCCTGGACAAGGCGATGCCAACGTCAGCGTCCAGGGACGGTGGCACCGGTAGCGGCAGCGGGCGACCATCTCCCCTCACCACCGTGGCGGAGCAGCAGCTTAAGCCCCACGGCAGCGCCGGACCCGCCTCGGGCA